GCAATTTGGCAAAGTGGCTGACGTGTCGAGATTATACGCTGTACTGTCAGGGTTCGAGACCCGTTGGGGGTGTTGATTGGGCCTAGGCAAGGTCGAAACCGCAGTCCACTCCTGCCTGGATGAGAATACTATTTGGGAAAGCAGGGCTATATGTAATTCAATGAAAATGTAAGATTTACTCATATTATTGTAGGAAAAAAACTTCAATTACCAATTATATTACTGCCTTATGCAAAATATGGTGAATAGATTTCGTGTATAAATCACATACTGGGAGTCTCAAAAATCTAATTATAAACGAAACTTTCTGAGAAGCAACACCATGTGAAATTCAATGAAACACATGAGGCTTAATCCTATGATTGTGGGAAAATGCAACTACCCGCCCCCTTAGCACATTATATGAAATAGGATGAATACACTTTATATGCTCAAAATGTATTCTCGGGCTGCAGTTTCGACATCAATTAAACTGGTCTCGGCAAATCGGCTGGTGAAACAGGAATCCGGATTTCGGTAGAGTTTCGTGTAGTCTTGACATGTTGACCACTACACCACACCTCTCACAGTGTCTTTGGCTCACGGGACCGAAGTGAATTTCGAGGTAGGCCAGGACTTTGCGACATCACCTTCTTTGGTGGGAATTTGAATGAGACGAATTGGTATTTGCTATTGAAATCGACAGCATTTCTTAGTTTCATTTGAGGTGATGAAGTTTGCCTCAACGATCCTTGCACTATAAATGTGATATGGAAGGGACGTGGCGCTCCTTGAAATATTACGTCTACCCTGAAGCCGACCGGCACTCATGACATTGTCGAAAGTATACGCTGCATCACCACAATCCGGCTTCGATTCCCATAGTTGAGGTTGAAACTGTCTGTTCAATTGAGTCCAGCAAGACCAACTGAATTTGACGGATAACTTGGAAACTATTCACATTATTCGAAGATATGAAGACCAAGATGGTGTGGCCTTTTGTGTGATCGCAGTCTTATTTCGTTGTAAAGAAGTTGTTTGACCTTGTTTTCGCAACTTGGTCATATTGGTAGCAAGACTTAGAGGAACGCACATATTCAGGAGTCCATTGTATGAATGATCATTTTCAGAGTATGACCGTGGATGTGGTACGTTCCCACACGTTTCGCCGGCATCGTCAGTGAGGCGAATAACGCCTTGAGTAGGACAGATGTACTGGCAGGAGTCGAGTGAAATAGGTGAACGAGAGAGAGAGCAGACGGATTTTACGGGGCAAGAGAGAGACTGGGATAAGACTATGAAGGAGGACTGCATAATAATAAAGCAGACTGTGATCAACATTTTCTGCACAAGGATGAAAGGGTGGGGAGAACTACATTTGGAGTGTGTAGGTTTTGTGCCGCTCAAAAGAGCATACAACACTAGATCTAAATAAACACGGTAAAATTGTAATAGTGAAGGTATGAAAGGATGATACAGGAAACGCGAATAACTCAGGGCCAAAGGGGAGATACCACAATTGTTC